CAGACAGTAGAACATTACCCAAATTATCACAATAAATAACCATACACATCTTGGAAGCTTCAAAGAAGTTTCCCCAAAGTAACAATCCTGTCCAAACATTCACAAAACAACAAAATCAGGTGGCAAGTAAAAAGTAATTTAGTACAAAGTGTGACCTTACCCTGACTTTCAATAAGACACTTTAGCAAACATTTTTACATGATTGCACAATTTTCTGATAATTCCACAGTTTGTTGAAGTAAAGTGAGGAACTTTTTGCATGAACTCAAAAATGTTGCGTATTAGATTACGTGGGAAAAGATTACGTTCCCACATCACTTTCTAGGCAAAGTTTTCAATTTCAAGTGTTAACAGAATCAAGAGTGAAACAGGACAAATAAGCATGCAGATTCCTTTAATCACAGTTCCAAGAAAAAAAATGCCTAATGTCACAAATGGAGTATGAAATCAGAAGTAGAAACTTGGTATTAAGTTTAACTACATCATCTTTAAATATCGTGCATCCTAACACCAAGCACGTAGGTAGACTCTCTGTAATCAGAGGGTCTTTAAGTTTTGCACTATCCATTTTAAATTCTCAATTTCCTCTCTCACTTTCATAACTATTTGCAATGGCTGATATTGAGGCATAGTATCAAGTACCATTAGCCCTTGAAGGCCTCATTCAAGAGGTTTTTGACAAAAACAAGTCTTAACCTGCAAATATACTAACACTGCAGAACCTGGACTCAAAAGCCAACACTGACTGATATGCCTTTCCCAACATCTATATATTTCACTGAATGTCAGTTAAGAATATAAACCTTGATCACCCTCCCCTTCACAGAAAGGGTGAAGTCAATTAAGCTATCCAGTAATCAGAGACTTATAAAGGAATGTTATAATTGAATCAGTAAAATTTCACAAACTGTATATGAATATACTCTTGGAAAAGGGTCCAGTTTATTTAAACTATAAGGGAAAGAACAATATCCACAAGGAACTTGTCAGGCTGATGCGGAGGATATGAAGTGATCTGTACTGCCAGCTACTAGAAATACAATTTGTTCAGCTGACCTGTACATGAAAGCTCTTCAATTCAACATAGGTCATTTCCAGGTGACTGCAAATTATTGGCAATTTTTTGGGAGCAATTTTCCCCTTGGACCAGCACTTCAGGTTTATTTGATTTTCAGCAATAGTTTTCGAATGTATTATTCAAGAACATTGAAATTTTAAGTTAGACTTGAATTTGAGTTTGACAAGCAACCAACCAGACAGATGTGATTTTTAGATGTAGGATTAGCCGCAAGGCAAATTTTTAAAAAAAGTAATTAGAAATCACCAGTTTAAAAATAAATCTGAATAAATAGAAAATGGGAGTAGACAACCTGTGGCAATGTGGAGACTACCAGCAGACTTGACAAGCCAGGTAGTCAGCTTCATATCTTGTACTTGTAGGATGTTCAAAGAACGATACATTTCCAAATTCAATTCATTAAGTTTTGCAAACAATCATTAGTTTACATCGCCTGTACTAATCCCCGGAACATACAGCACCAGGTTCTAAGAGCTATGTAATACACGCTTACTACAAGGTTATGAAACTGTCAATTAGAACCTGTGGTACATCAAAATGTTCCTGACAGTTAAAAGGAACATGAATGTATCATTTGGAGAGTGAAGCACATGATGCTGTTGCACACTGTTCTAAAAAAAAAATTTAGAGATCAAATCCTGTTAACTACAACAGCAAGTGTTTCTAATACACTGCAGATGCAAATAAATACACTTCATCTGTTAACTCAAAAAAGGTGGCTATAGCACCAACTACTTTTGTAATAGCAATTTTTACACTGCAACACTTCATAGGTGTTAGACAAAATCCAACACTGAAACACAAGGGAACATTAAGACAGGCAATCAAAACACTTGTCAGAGGAGGTTGGTTCAAACAAGTACCTTACAAGAGGAGGGGAAGAGACATTGGGTGGGAGGGCAGAATTCAGGAGCTTATGGTCTTGACAGCTTGAGAGAAGTAACCAACTGATGTGAAAAAGTGAAGATAAAAATTAGAAAAATACTTCTCATAGACAGTTGTTGGACTGAAAAAAATTTATACAGAGATATGGAGATGCAGAGGAATTTGAACTGGAGGAGATTTTTAAAATCTGTGACATTACTGCCCAAGGACTCAATGTAGGTCAGCAAATACAGACTGATGGACAAATGGGATCAGATTTGAAAAAGAGCACGTTTCATTTCAAAATACGTACTCCATTCTTGTATGTAATAAGTACTGAATACATCCAAGAATTATTTAAACAAATCCCAAGTGTCAAAACAATGTGCAAATCAGAAAAGATCACTGCAGTTCCCTTGGCCAGCTTGCACGGCAAATACATACCACAATATCCACCACTACCTGGAGAACAACCGGAGCTAGATTAGGAACCAGTTATCCTGATACATAAACCAGCTCCCTCGGACTCCCTTTTAGTCCATTCCATACAATTATCATTCACTTTGTAACCTAGCACAAACAAAACTGTTGCTAGGCAGCGTGTCTCCCTTACCCAAGGGTAAGGTTATGTTTACTCGTGCAAGAACTAGTGACTTTGTTAAATGTTTTGGTGTCTGTCGTCACGAGATCCTCAATACGAAATACTTCCAGATTACCTCAGTGCTTGCAGAGTAAATATTTCCAGCTTTAGCAGTTTCCCACGGAAACTTGGGTGTCTAAACACCACTATTAATTTAGTTGTCCTTCACTGCACCATTCCTAAAGCATATTTGCCTTATTAATAAAAAAAGTCCAGAACAGCACACAGGATTGCAACTGAGGCAGAACCAACACTTTCTTAGAAAGCAACTGAATAAAACATTCTGACTTTATCGTTTGTTGCAAACTAATTTCAAAGTGAACAGCATTGCACTTAAGACCTTGATGAAAATATGACAAGCCACAGCAAAGTAGAGACCTCATGGAGCAGTCACAAAAGTTGAAAGATTGTTGTTGTCGGAATTAAAAATCAAATAACTTGCATTTACATAGTAACTTTAATGTAATAAAACAGAGGTGCTTCATAAGCACACTATTAGAAAAAAACCGCATCAAGTAATGCAGAGGTTATGGAAGGGAAATGTTAAAAGGATCCATATACCTGAAGTCTTGTTGTCAATGTTGGAGTAGGGAAAAATCAGGGATGCACAAGAATACAGAATGAAAGTAATGCAAAGCTCTCAAAGGGTTGTACGGATTGGAAGGGTAAAGACCATGGGAAGTCTTAAATGCAAATCTGAAAATTTTAAATGCAAAGTATTGTTTGATAATTAAAGCAGATAAGTGGCATTACGTGTCAAAATATTTTGAGAAACAGATTTTAAAAAAGCAATGGCGAAACTTTTGGTTAATTGAACAAGTGCAACCCATGTTACGCAACAAAGTCAAAGACTCAATGTGCCCAGATTTTAAAGAAATAGTCAACCAGTCATATCAAAAGATTCCACAAGACATAACTCAAAACAGGAATGTCACGTTTTAAAACTAAGTTTTCACTGTTGTATATTATGTACTTGGTCATTTGGCCTAAGATTCAATAGAAAACTTTTCAAATTAAATGGGTTCAAAAACAATGTTATGACAAATGAACTGCATTTTGTTAATACAAATAGGTTATGAAACCTAAATTAATTACATAGTGAGGGACCGATGTGTTGCAAGACCAAAATTTACTATATAAATGAGAATTTTGAAATCAAAAACAAACATCTATTTCCACAATCACAAAATGCCAAGCATTAAATATGCAACTCATCATTAATCGGGACAAGTAAAAAGAACGAATCAAACTTTCAGAAACCTTATCCTTCTGTATCTGCATTGTGGATAATGGCAATAACAACAATAAAAATCAGCTTTGGATTAAACGTGTTCAAGTTTTTCATTCGTATTAATTCTTCATTAAGAAAAAGTAAGACATCAAAAGAATTAAATTCACCAATAAAAATTAGTAAATCCAACGCCAATCCTCACGCTCTGTGCGATCAATAGAAACATGCCTTTTTTTCAAAAAAAATCTCTGGAGTTACATCAAAAACCTCATTCTCCTGTTCATTAAAAAAGTTACACTTATTACTTGCAGTTCCCACTCATCAGCTGAGGCAGTAAAGACGTAGATCGATTTTGATTTCGGGAATGGAAACTGACAAGAGAATACAAACAGCGCACATGGAAACAGGATGCAAGAGGCCAACTTCCACAGGAGCACTGCGAAAAAAAATGGGCGCCCCAGGGTCTTATGTCCTCCACCACGGCCCTCGGCTTGTGTGAAGAAACGCAGTAGGCCCGGGACCTGCCGATCGGACCCGGAGATAAACTCCCGCGGGGACCGAGGCCTAGCTCAAAGTGGCGGTGGGTGCTGAGTGTCACGGTGACATTTCGGCCAGGAACCCACCACTAACCCCTGTCGCGGCCGGGGGCCTCCGCCACTTCCTCCCCGCCCGGCCCTACGAGAAGGGGATTGGGGATGGTGGGGGGTGGCAGTGAGAAAGGAAGCGGCTCGGGCAAAGGCGGGAGGACGGGGTTTTCGCCTCCCTCCACCCGCTAACTGCTTACAGACGGGGGCCCGGTGAAATAAAAAAAACACACCCGTCCTTCCTTCGCCCAGACGATGATAAAATAAATAACCCACCACCATCACCCAGTATCTTACCTACCGGGAGTAGGCCCCGGCTTCCCCCACCACCCCCCAAACCACAGGCCTCAGAGCAAATGGCGGCCAGGGAGGGGAATAGAGAAGGATACAATCGGGAGGAGAATGATCGGCCGGGCCCTGGGGGTCGGAGGTAGGTAAGGGGGGGGGGGGGGGGGGGTTGATTGGGGAGGGAAGGCTCGAATAAAAATAAAACACATTAACCGATAGACACACAAATAGAGACAGAGTAATAGACAGATAGAGACAGAGAGAGGGACAGACAATAAACGGCGGCGGGTGTGGGCGCCGCTTTCCCCCATTTACCTTGTGGATTCTTTTGAGAGCCATGTTAGGAGCGCCGGGCGGTTAGAGGTGTTGTTGTTGTTGTTGTTGGCCGGGCCGGACAGCAGTGGAGCGGACTGGGTGCTGGGTCAGGTCAGGTCAGGTTTCGGGCCAGGCCAAGGCTGTGTGGCTGTACTCGGCCTCTCTCTCACTCACTCACTGTGTGTGTGTATATATATATATATATATATAGTTGTTCGTGCTCTCTCTCTCTCTTCCCCCCTCTCTCTCTCTGTGTCTGTGTGTGTATGTACTGCTGCTGGGAGCCGGGTTTAAAGGCGAACCCGGAAAAAGCCGCCGAGTCCGCTCGGAGACACCGAGAAAATGGAAGGAAAGGACCGGCCGCTTTAAAGTAGTCCCCATGTATCCGTCCGCCGGCTGCAGGGGAGGTGGTGGACAGGGGCAATAAAACACACACATACACAAACACACACCCCTCGCTCTTCCTCCCTCTTTTTACAGACTGCCTGCCCTACTGGAAGTTATGGGCTCTGTGTGGAGCGTGTGCGTGTCATTTCTCGATGCAGCTGCCTACACGCCCCGCTTTATGAAACAGCTCCCCACCACCCCATTTCCCTCTGGCAAAGGAAGTGAGCCGCGGACCGATACCGGCGGAGGTGATGGGGCTCGATTGTCTCCGAGTTCTCGCGAGAAGTGGACGCCGGTTTTTGGAGGGGGGGGGAGGTAGGATGTTCAGCGCGCAGGCGCAGCAAGGCCCGGCGCATTGGAGACGGGGAGGCAGCAGCCACCGCCAGTTCACTCTCCCCGGGGGAGAGAGGGTCGGTCTCCCGGGCAGTGAGGATCATCACCGGGTTTACACCGAGTGGGTTCAGTCTCCTGGGTAGTGAGGGTCATCACTGGGGTTCACTCCGAGTGCGTCAGTCTCCCCGGGGAATGTGAGTCAGTCTCCACGGGGGAGTCAGGGTCGGTTTCCTGGGGAGTGAGGGTCATCACTGGGTTGATTCCGAGTGGGTCTCCCGGGTAGTAAGGGTCATCACTGGGGTTCACTCCGGGGGGGTCAGTCGCCCCTCATTTCGCTCAGGCCGAGTGGGTCAATCTCCCGGGGAGTGAGGGTCATCACTGGGTTCATTCCGAGTGGGTCAGTCTCCCGGGGAGTGAGGGTCATCACTGGGTTCATTCCGAGTGGGTCA